CATGTGTTTATTTTTTTTGGTTGCTGAGTAATATTCCATTATGTATATGTACCACATCTTTTTAATTCAGTCATCCACTTTTGGGCATTTGGGCTGTTTCCACATCTTTCCAGTTGTAAATAAAGCAGCAATAAACAAGGGGGTGCAGAAAACCACTCTTTAACTACAATTAATAGATAAATACAAAGAAATACCAGAAAGTTCTGTGTAAGATTATATTCTACACCTTAAAATTTTTAGAAAACGATGCTGGACTTTTAGTAACTGCTCTACAGTCAAACCTATTTCTAGCTGCTTTACCAGCAAGTACTTTTAACACGTTTCTTGCTAAAAATCATGCCAAACTGAGACACAGAAAGCACTGTTCTATAATGTGTTCTATGTGTCAGGCATTCAGCTATACAATGAGAGCATTATTGTCCACTCCACAAACCAGACAACTACTAGTGCTACTCTGCGTAGACAATGCCTTACACCAGTACTTCACGAACTTTTTGGTACTGAGACCATTTACTCTTAAATGAAGACCCAAGGAGCCTTTGTTCTGATGGGTTATAAGGATTGATATTTGCCACGAGAAGACAGAAAAGTCTAAAACATTTATTTGCTAATTCATTTAAATATAATAAAATCATCACATGTGAACCTAAGACTTTTAAAGACAGAATAACCATATTCCAAAATAACACAAAGATTTTAGTGAGATGAGGGGCATTTGTTAATACCTTTGCACCTCTTTAATGTCTAACTTAAACAGAAAATAACTAGATTCACACATTTACTTCTACATTCAATCTGTTGCCATAGGTTGCTTTTGTTAAACTCAGAAAAAAAAATTGGTTTATACAGATGAGTAGTTGGAAAAGGGAGGGTATTCATTCTAATAATCTTTTCAGAGAACTAGGGGGGTAGTCTTCTTTGATAATAACACTAAAATCCAACAAGTGGTAATTTTTTTTTTTAAGATTTATTTATTTGTGCATACAGAACTGGGGTACAGGCCAGAGGCTCAGGGGGGGGGGTGAGAAGCTTCACCATAGACAGAGTGGGGAGCAGAACAGGCAGATCGAGGAAGTACACTGCTGAGGGGAGCAGTGGGCGG